CCGCGACTTTTTTCCATTAAGCAAGCCAGAGTTAGTTGCTTTTCTGCCACAACGCTGGGGTTGGAATGAATGCAATCGGTAGATTGCACCTGTGACGTAATCTTACACGCCACCAGCTCCGTGTCGCGTTGCCATGGTAACTTGTGTACGGACTACCCGTAAATGTCAACTTGTAAATTTTTAACCTAACCTTCAGACGCTCCCCTTCTGCTCTCTTTTATTCTCTCTGTTCTATTTTTTTCTCCATCTTCCTCGAAGATTTGGTCGGTGTTCCTCCTTTTAACGATAGATGCATTTCTCTCCCTTTCTTCTGTCCCCTTTTCTTGCTTTTTTCTCGACCTCCTTGACTTTTTTCCCCTCGTCATCTTAGCCCTCATTACCGCCATATTCTGGTCATGTTTCGCACTGTTCTTCCTCGTTTTCTCTCCATCTCCCTTTCTCCCTCCTTCCCTTCCTTCTCGACCTTCTTCTCTTTTCGTACCTTCTTCCATCCCTTATGCGAACAGCCAGGAATTCAAGCCAGACAAAAATACAAGAAAAAAAGAGATCATGGAAGCACCAGAGGTCAGTGAAGGTCGTCTGGCTGATTGGCAACGCTGCCAAGTGTGTCTTCTTATTCAATTAGCCAAATTTAGCCTGGAAATACTCTCGGTCGTGGCGAAGTGTGCATGTCGTGTGTGTGCCCTTGTATGTGTATGTTTGTGTGTGTGTTTGTGCGTGTGTGTGTGCGTTGAGCGGGTTTTCGTGTCTGTGTGTCGTGTCTGAGTTTATGGGCGTATTTGTGTACACGTTGTGGGCGCATTCTCAGTGATACAAATCCCCATAAATATTCCATATCTCGCACTCGCAGCGTTCTCACCGCTGGAAACTCATGAGTGGTGATCACGTGACTCCGAGCCGGGGCATCGCGAGAGACTTCTTCCGCTTGCTCTGTTTATTCTTCGTTCCTTCGTTTTTCTTTTTTATTACCTCATTCTCTTTTCTCGTTTCTTTTCTTTTGTTATGTTTAGGCTTTTTCATATTTCCTTCCTGTTTCGTTATTTTATCCTCTCCTCCCTTCTTCCCACTCTCCGCAGCCGCTCTTCTCCCCACCGTCTTCTCCTCGACACGTTCTCAGAAGCCTTCTATAAACTGCGCATTTGCCTCCTCTTCAATCGTGAAAATTGATTAAAAAGATAAAGCGCAAAATCTTCACTTCCCCAGATCGTCTCTGAAGTATCCTCCAGACGTCCTCGGTGCGCGCGCAACCGGTCCCAAAAGCTCGAGTTGGTCCTTAAGGAGTAGGAATTGGAGGAGGAGATTCTCAGGAAGAACCACCTGTTGTGACCTTCTGAATGAAGCTTGTAGTAGACCTTCAAGACAGGTCAAATATTTCCCCTTTTTTTCTTCTCATTAGCTCTTGCTCCCTATTCCGAGCCTTTCAGGTCTTCTGCGACCTCGAATGTCCTTCACGTGATGACGTCATTTACCCGCCAAAACCTGCCAGACCAATAGGCTTCGCACTCGACCAGTTGAATCCTGATTGGACGCGGAATAAACGGTTTGAAAAGCAACTGGGCTCCCTATTGGTGGTTCGACCAATGGTTGAAAGCAAGTAGGGTTCTGATTGGTTGACCGCCCAACGGATATTGATCTTAGGGCGGATGGAAGCGCTAGAAAGAATGGGAGACGTGTATATAGCTTGACCAGGCGCCTGTGTTGACACTGGAGCTTGTACCTTTGCAAGCAGAGAACGGTGCTGGTGTGATGAGATACTCATCAGCCATGAACTGATAGATAAACAATTTCCTAATAATAGAATTACTAATCACACCAAGAAAAAATCATATAAGGCTGTTGTGGGAGAGTGGGGCACAATTGATTTGAAAAGTTACAAAGAGATCTTAATATGATTTCTTCTTCGTAAACTTTTCGACATGTTATTCTACCTGTGGTCTTGTTTTCCCTGGGAGCGCCGGCCCCAGTGTGTTGACAGACGCTGGTCTGCCGGCTTCGCGGGGTGTGACCCAGAATAGCTGGTTCTTCCCGCCGTGGTTCAGAAGATTAAGGAGATAAGATAGTGCGAACTAAAGTAAAGGTAGAATTTAATTGCCAGGGATTTCAGATAAGGAACGAAAGAGAACGGTAGAAAGAGAGGATTTAGACGGGGAAAGAGAGTGGAGGACGAGAGGGCAAGGCAGAGGCGTGGTAGCGTGCGACTCCTCTCCTGGTCCCGGCGTTTGCGTAGCTCCTAACTGTTGCACAGTAGTCTTGATCTGTTACTGTTGTGGTTGCAAGTTTCATTCTCGTCACCTCGTGTTGTCTTTCATTGATTCTTCTCGGTCTTCGATTTTCTTCCACTTGTTGGACTTTCTTTTTCTTTTTTTCCATGACAACCACTTTTTATTTTTCATGACCACCACTTTTTGATTTTTATGACCACGAATGCTTACTTCATCCTCTTCCTTGATTTCCAAAGTAGATATTCAACGTTTCCCTGAACACTCCAGCCCTTGAAAGTTTAGCCCGTGTGATGCGTGATGTCGCATTCGATCCCCTTGAAAATGATGCAGTTGTTATTGAATATTTTATGAGACTGTGTTACCAGGGATTGACGTCACTTACGGCTGTGTTACTGTGTGTGGTTTTATGCGTATTTCGTGTTTGTGCCCGTCTGTGTTTATGTATATATTTACATGTCTTGATAGAGTATCGGTTTTACATACATTTCGGCTAAGGAAAACATCTCGTATGCATAGCTTTTAATGGGAAATGTAAAGAATTTTGAAAACTGTGTAGTTGTGAACGCTAGCTGTCAACAAGTATCGCTCAGTCAGATAATTTTGCCAGTCAGGTTTCTGGTTAATACAGTTGTCGTTTGGCTCCAGCAAGTTGACACGAGAATTCCCTCCCCATAACTTGTCAGCGTCCTCCGTCTCCTCCCGCGCTGCCTCGCCCCGCGCTTCTGTCGCCCCTCCTCTTCTACGTTGTTTTCTGCTTTTTCCGCCCTTTCCCCTGCCATTCTCTTTCTTCTTGTTGCTTTCTCTGCTTCTACTTCTTATTCCCCCCTTTTATTATCATCTTTTCCTCTAGTTCCTTTTTTTATCCCATCTTTTCTTCAGCCTAATCCCCCTCGCTTCTCCTCTCATCCCATATCCTTTACCTCTTCTCCCCCTCACCCATCCTTTGCCTCCACCCACCTCCGCCCTCCAGCCACTCCCCGGCTAGATGTTGCCATGGTAACCAGGCTCCGGAGGTGAATGATACCAGGCTTAACCTTCGTTACGTGTACGATATTCCGTCCGCTGGAGAAATGCGGGTTCCGAGTCGTTTGAGAAATAAAGGAGAAGGTAAAACAAGAGAGAAGGACGTTGCCTCTGGAGTTTCGTAGAACAAGAAAAAAAAACAGTACTGTAATCGTGTCTTTTATTGATAAGATATGTTAGAAATCATCAGCGTAGTATCCATATGTTGGGAATGTATTCGTTACGACTCTCAAATGCTACACTTATTGAAGATTTTTCCTTGCGGTTTGTGTAAGGAAGAAAATCTAAGGATTTCATCCACCACGTTTCACTTATTTGGTAATATTTCGCTGCTTTGAGAATACTTTTTATGGCCTTCAAGGAAATCTGTCATTGTTCCCCTTAAGTCGTTTTCGCGTACATATAATAAAACACTAGATTTAAATTATAATTATTGTATTTACCAATTGTAAAACAATAATTTTTCCACTCTATTAGCGTCTTAGTTCGGTATTTAAGTCTCCGCAGAGGTTAAATGATATAAAAAAGCATGTCACAGAAACCAACAACAAGGAATCTATCATTATCACACCATCACTAAGATGCTTATCGCAAGTCATAAAATACAGACAGTCATGAACGAGCATCACCGCGCGACGGAGAGACGGCAGAGAGGAGGCGTTGGGAGGACGTCTGTGGACTCTGTTGGCCACCGTCCAGGATGTATTCGATCCAGCTTGTAAGAATCTCTGTCGTCAACCTAATCCTTCAAGGGGGATTGCTCATAACG